TGCAAATGTGGGGGAAGAAGAATCTTTAGAGAAGAAAAAACAATTTTTCTTGGAAATTGCAAGACAAGAACAAAAAAAGAAAAATTGCTTCTCCTTGGAGCTCTACTCCACTCAATTAGCACACTGTCACAACTTGAGAGCACAGAGGTTGGTTGGGCAGACAGGCATAAAAGTTTCAGATAGAAGAATGATAGCTCCCAGCAGTCACTCCATGCCACCTCTGAGATGGGGTGTATTTTACCTGGGGCTTTGGGAAAACACCTACTGCATTGGAAAAAGGTGAAGAGTTTTAGGGCATCTGCTTCTATTAAATCCTCCCAAACAACCCAAAGAATAAATCGCTCTGCCTCTTTTATGACATATATTTTATACTTAAAGCAAGTTCTTATCAAAGGTGTAACCACTAAGTCCTCCCCCCCACACACACACACTCAAGAATAGGCCACATGAAGGTGATTAATCATGGGTCAGTTTGGGCTGCTTTCCATATTAATGCTCAGGAAAAAAGGCTTCTTTCTCCATGACAGCCTAGGGCTCTTGACAAAACACTTGGTCCAAAGTGTTCAGAACTCTGCCACAAATGATTTAGGTTAGGATGAGTGGGAGCTGGGCTGACAAAAGCCAAAATTGGATAAATGAAATTAAACCTTAAGTGTTGCCATATTTTCTGGGTAACAAACATTCAGATTGATGACAATATTATTTCTACATTCAAAATGCTACTAAAAGTTAATGAAGTAGTGTGAAAATGAGCATAAATTTCTCAGAAACATATTTCTCACCCAAAAGCCACCTTTCAAAGAATAAATGTTCATGTTAACATTATTTGTACATCTCTGGAAAGAAAGCATTCTCTAAAATATTAGCCTGCTATGAAAAATAAAATGCACTCTCATTTCCAATTTTAGACTATTTCTCTTTGGAGAGAAGTTATGTCTTTAAAATAGCAATTGTCTCTAGAGCACATATATGATCTATTATCCTCTCAGTTGCAAACATAGTCAAAACTACATCACAGAAGTATTTAAACGGTATGCATTTTAAAAAGTATAGGTAATGAATCTCAATGTCGGATTTTTATTCAAGAACACTATGAACACATTGATTTGCAGCGTATAAACAAAATATAATTTCCTGGAGATCCTTTGCCTTCAATTGTGTGAAGAATTCATAAAGGGAAATGTAAGTCCGATGTAGCTTTAATGTCCCCATATTTAATCTTCTATTAAGAATTACAAATGAAAAAAAGAGAGGAAAAATAAATGCTACCAGTGCATTGCAATCCACTCAACATATTATAGACTGTAACAAATAAAACATATTATGTATTTTATTATGCAGAGTCAAGGGCATCAGCCAACTGATCTGATAATCCAATAAACTGTTTGGAAGAAAGAAGTTATGCACCTAGATAAGAGCTTTGAGGAAAGCTGCCTATTGGAGCTATTTAGCATCACAAACATACTTAGCAGAGAGCTACTCAAGTATTGCTGTCACTTAGGCACTTCCAGAGAAAGAGTTATCATGTCAATAGGTTTTGGTTTTAAAGGGAGGCTTTTGGGAGAGATTATAAATATTGATTTTACTAACAGTTTATGAGCTTGTGTATATAATGCCAAACTTTCTATTTATAGCACTGAGTGAGATTTCAATGGGGATCCAAAATCCAGGATTTTTCAGGGAAGTCTTGAAAGATGCTTAGGGGGCAATAGTAATTTGGAAGTTTTAATTTCCTTTTTCTAAAAGAGCTCTTGGTTTTGAGAATTCACATGATAAATTATAGAAAAAGAAATCAGAGTTCTAATGTATTTCTTTTTCTATAGACCTAATAATCCACTCAGAGAGAAGACTTGTTTTCAAATAAGGCATCCAATGAATATAATTTGACAATCCACAAGATAGTGCCTTAGGGGCTGGGATGAATTTCAAAAGTAGAAAGATAGCCCTTGCCATTAAAAGACTTCATGTTCTAAAGAGAAGAGGAAAAGAATGAATAAGTGCATAGAGCACATAGGTGTGTGTGTGTATATATATATATATAGGTATATATAGGTATATATATAGGTATATATAGGTATATACCTATATATATATAATACATGCAGACACATAAGAAAATTCTGCCTTTATGAACAATGTTAGGCTCAATCTGACATATGCAGCACTTTTCTCATGTACAAGAAACTAAATGTGTTTCTCTTACTGCTATAATTTGGTTACTTAAAAAAAAAAAAAAAAAAACACCTCTTACTTATGGGAAACAATCCGGTTCCAAAAATAGAAAAATAAATCTAAACCTAAAAACCCATTTGAAAGGAAGACAACAACAACAGAAGGAGTAAAATTGAATTTTACAAAAGAGACTCAGTAGGTGTACTTCTCACTAGACCATATTTCCATCTTAGAGAAACAAATAGCAACCTCTTCTCAAGAATTGTCATAAGTTATGAAACTGGGAAATATTTCCTAAATAATAAAAATGTCTGACAGCCTTATTTATTTTCACATGAATTAAGAAAATGTGAACAACCACAAATAAATTTCTATATATAACACTACACACACACACACACACACACACACACAGGATTCTACTTTATTTAAAGGCAAATATATAATTAAGTCACCACAAGTAGCTTTCCACAAATAAATATACAGATATAAGTGTGATTGCCTTAAAAAAAGAATTGTTCTGAGGTGAATTTATTTTACATTTAGGATTTTGCACAAGTATTTTCCCTTGCCATTCACAGACTTAGGGATGAGAAGATTTATTATTTATTACCTTGAACAATATTAATATAGCATTTTAACTTATGTTAAAATATAAAGAATTTGGTACGCTTTTCAATTCAAATTTAATTAGTGCCCCCCCACACACATATTACTAGATAGCTAAGATTTTTTTATAGCAGAATATTTGCTTACCGACTTCACCTTATCATTAATCAGCCCCAGGTTCATTTCTGAACATTACAATAAACAAATGTCTATGGTATGTCTCAATACTTTCTTGAACTCAAAAGTTAGAAAAATCTCCAACAAACAAGCCCACTCTAACACAATTTCTATTATGGAATTTATTTTAAATATTAATTGGGCTTGCACTACTTCTTAACATTACACGTTTTATATATCAATCAAGTGTTAGGACCAAGTTTTCTCTATGTTCCAAGAGGCTTACAAGTACCTATATCTTATTCATGCTCTAAATGCTGTATTACATTGCTATACATTTTTCTTCACATACTGATATTATTATGTTAAAGTCTGCATTCAAGTAAGTTTTTTAAATCCCCTGATAACTTTCTAGTTTATAAAATTACCATATTCAAATGAATGTTTAACTTAGCTTTCATTGATGGTTTTCAGGAAGATTTAAGAATCATAATACAGTTTTTATAATTACAAACAAATTAGTAATTGTTTTTCCTTTTTAAATGCCTCAAAATCCCCTTGAGGTGGTCAGTCTTCATACAGAGTATTCACTTGAAAGTCTTTTTCCCAACCACAAATATGTATCATTCTTTTCATGATACTAAAATAAGACTAGCTCCTCAGGCTATTTCTGCTCTGATTGTTTTGCTTCTACTTTTATTAATCATATCCCACTCTTTTCTTCATCAAACTAGTATGATTGCAGAGCTTTTTTGCAACCTTTATATTGATTTTACAGTCCTCCGCCCTGTTTTTCCAAGTAGGTTTAGCTCTTCTTTGTGGGAAGAAACTACAGTTTATACTTTTTTTTTAAATAATAAATTTTATTTTTATATTCCCCATACAACTGCAAACCCCCCCCCATTCTGACCCCAATCCCTCCCTCCCGCCCCCCACCCGCCAAGTTTATACTTTTTATAATCTTAAAAAAAAAAGACTAGGATATACTTTTCCTTGTCTTAGAACAAGTGTTTTTTGTTTGATTTTTTTTTTCAGTGACCTATGCATGTTTGATCAAAGCTTACTAAGAAATAACGAAATACCGGTACTAAATTGACAAATGACAACTCAATCCAAGAGATACTAGACATGCTATTCAAATTCATTAAGAATAGGTATACGGATTTCCCTTTCATTAAACATCCTTTAATCAAAATGGGGTTATGAGGGCAGATGTTAATAGAATACAATAGAATCAGTAATAGAAGCTTGTATAGTTATTCCATTAAATTTTTCTGTCACAAAGGATCTACATATCCATGTGGAATACACTTCAGTTCTCTAGGAATAAGAAGTGTTAACTACAATCATCTTGTGCTACAGCTACTCAATATTTAACCAACTGAGTAGCCCTAATCTAATACCTAGTATTCAATCATGGGAAATATTTGAGTTCTTAAATTTTTATGATTTCTTAACTAAATCTTAGACTTGGGTAAAACCAATTGAAATATTCTAACCCATCTTGACTACTTACATTGTCAGTTTTATGTAAAGTCTATATGAAATGGTTGTATTAGGGTTTCATTTTTCAAAAAAACACTTTGACTTTGGGGGAAACAGGTAGAGAAATAGCTCACAAGAGACATGAACTGTGGAAGCACTGGTAAGATAGAGAAGAAGGAAAGTTAGGATGTAGAGTTAGGTGAAGGATAATATTAACACCATTTTTTTTAAGTTGATGGACAAGACCGATGATGATATGTATTGTCATAAAGTAATTGACATACTCCCAATATTATGACTTATGTGTGTGTGTGTAACATACACATAGCCCATCACTTTTACAACATCATGGTTAATCAAATTATACTTCAAAACTATTTAACAATAAATTGGATTAATTTTTGTATATATTTTTGCTAATTATACCAAGGTGATCTGGGCATTACCTAGAAATGGGCAAGGCTTTTATTACTAATTCTATTAAATTCTGCTCTCTTAACCCTTTTGCAAAATTCTGATAAATGTATGAGCTGCTTGTAACAAAATAATGACCTTAATGTCAACAGGCAACAATAAAGGCAGCAACATTATGGAATTTAATGTTTCATGCACTTTACCTGATTCTTGAGATCCAGCTTGGGACAAGGGCGACCTCCATTGTAGGGTTTTTCTTTTAACCATTTGGATCGAATTCTCACTCCAATCCCACAAGATGAACTGCAAGACCCCCAACTAGACCAATCACTTAACTTGCAATCAAACGGGCAGGGTATGATACATTCCTCTTGAATATAACCTGAAAGATTTAAGAGAAGGGGCAAAATGTGGTCAAAATATAGTGATCAAATTTGCCATGATCACTGCTCTGATTGTTCAACAGTATTGCTCCAGTGGCTTCAATAACTTTCTACTCAGATAAACCAGTTTTAAGAGGTGGACACATCAGTTTATAAAAGAATTCCATCAATTTCCAGTGAATATAACTATGCATTTCTACCTTTTTTTTTTCCTTCTGAGTTCATATTACAATCAAAAACATCTATTTTCCCACACATAAGACACATTCTTCACCAGCCGATGGCTCTCTAACTCTTTCCTTGATTTTATATTCTTTCTCCATAGGTAAGGATAGACATATCTTACATATCTATATATCTACTTTATAGTTATTTTTTTTCTTAACATTAAAATGTCTTTACTTTCCCCCCAAAATACTTGTGACAAAAACAGTCATCACCAAACATCTAAGAGTCATCAGGAAAGATTATTTTAGGGTTGCAAACATTGCTTCACTTGATAATGTTAAAAGATTAATTCTCTATAATCTAACAGTTGTAATTCTACAGTTCTTTCTAAGCAACTTTGATCACCAATTTAGTTTTAGGTACATACTAATTGCTAAATGTAAAATTAACTAGAGGTCACAAACATTGCTTAATTTTATTGAGAAAATGAGTCACAATTACTCCATTTGCTACTGAATGTAAGAGCAGAAATAGCAATTAAATATAATTAATTCTCATGGCATATGTGTTTCAAATGCAAAATTTCAGGAGACTTCATATAAATAAGTTTTAAATATTTGAGTGCCTATCTAAACCCTATTTAAAGCAGATTTTGAATTAGATGCTCTTTTAATTCAATGAGATTTTAAATTATTTTCTTCTATACTTGCATAGTGAAAGATTTTAATTAGAAAGCCTCTAGCAATACCAGTTTTTTCCCCTTTCACCATGATAAGATATAAACCCAGAGAATTTCCATACAAAGTCAAGATCATAAATTCCATGGGAATAAAGTAACTTTGAAATTCAACAGGAGTAACAGTGACAATTATATTTTGGGAAAATTATTTTCATGACAATATACCTCAAAGGAATATCCAGTCATAACTATTAACAACTGCATATTCTTATACCTATCTCATAATTGAAAGGATTAGTTTTACTTGCATACTTAATACTCACAGTCCTTGGCAATAGAATATGATCAAATGTGAATACCCAGAAAGTTAACCTGCCATAGGAGAATTCTAATTTTTGACTATGGAAACTGCACTAGTAAAATTCAAGTATCTAAATCTAATTGTTATGGAAGTAGAAGTTTTTCTACCAAAATATTTTATAGTACATTTATATGCATAACACATTACTTGGACCATCATATTACTTGACCTGGAGATACTTTTGTATCCTGTAAGAATTGTCTGCAGGATATGCCATTAAGTATGAAGTAGTCATTACAGAAGTATCAATAGAGCATACACCAATACTGTAATTTTGTGAACTATATTTAGTGTGCATAGTAAGTACCTAAACGTATCCGCTAATGTGGACAACATTCTGAATAGAATACATTAATAATATTTCTATCTATGTTATAACCAGATGAACTTATTTAATGGACTTAAAAATCAGTAAAACTGAATTCCAGAGACTAGGATGTAATGACTTTTCCATTTATATTACTAACCTCTTCAGATTAGTGCAGTGGACATAGCTGAAAACACATCTTTTTGAGTAAGGTGGTCTCATTGATCAAGCCACTACTCAGGGTATTACCTGCTATGCATTATTCCCCCTCCATCATCAAGAATACACAATTTGGGGGGCATCCCTTGTGGCCTAAGGATTAAGTCTCAGCACTATCACCATGATGGCCTGAATTTGATTCCTGGCCAGGGAGCTAAACAACATGGCACAGCAGACCTCTCCAGTCTTGCCTGCTACTCCTCTTAGCAGTATATTTCAGTGTATCTACTTTTCTACTCCTCACTCTGGTGAATCTTCTCATCCCCGCACCTATGGCCTACACCCCAGTTCATTTTTAAAGATTTCTTTATGCATACTAGAACTGGGGTACAGGCCAGAGGTGTGGGGGGTGAGAGAATTCACCAGAGACAATGTGGGAACAGAACAGGCGGACTGACTGAAATACACTGCTGAGCGGAGCAGTGGGCGAGACAGGAGAGGTCTGCTTCGCCATGTGGGTAGCTCTCTGGCTGCCCAGAGATTGAATTAGGGCTGCAGAGGCTGCTGATAGCATCACAGTGCTGTGCTTAAACACTGTGCCACTGGGGAGGCCCTGGTTCTATTAAAAATAAATAAATATTTAAAAAAAATACATAATTTTCCCCTAATAATACCTTGTATTAAGGTTTGTGAAAGAAGGAAGTATTAATGAAGAAATAACCTAAGTTAATTTACTTATATTTGTCCTATTGTATAAAGTAATGATAAATCCACCTACTAGAAAGAGTATGTTCCATTTACTTCGCTAAAATAATGCCACATAATGCCACAAATAAGACAAAGAAAATAAAGAAAATATTGATTATCTCTTTTCTACTGCAAAGTGCAAATTGAGGAGAATGTCATGAATTAAAATGATCTCATATCTTTAATTTCTGAATATTTAAATATTTAGCTTTATTTTTAATTTTCTTTTTATTGAGGAAACACTGCTTTAAGGTCACACTTCTTCAGATTAATGTCACCACACCTACAACCAAAGCACGTAAAGTCTACCTCTATAGTCCAAGATTTGCTGTTTTACATTTTAATACTAGTATTTACTAGTGAAAAAATCTAACATTGAGAAATACCCAATTGCTTAAGTACAAGTGCTTTAAAGTATTTATTTGTCTAAGAGAGATGGAGAAAAATGGGAAATGTCTTCTTGTCACAAAGAAAACAATTTGAGATATTCGAACTTGCCATTGTTCAAGGAAAAAAAAAACAACTGAAATATTTATTTAAAATCTCAATCCATTTGTGTGTGGAAATGTAGATCAATTGAATAAGGTCGCCAGCCTGCTCTGGTGTATTTATATTTTGGCCTATTTAGACTAATATGGATTCTGAAAGGGGACAGTTGGAAGGCACCTACATTATATTGTCTTTTATAAATTTTAAGTTACTAAGAAAAAGCTTTTGAAAGTTCTCTCTAATAGCTAGAATGTATATTTTCCATACATTCAAATCAATCAGCATAGATTTTACAACATTCAACATTTAGGATGATGGTTAAGATAATGCAAATTAAAAGCATCATATTTGGACTTACAACCTAATACCAATTTAGAAGTTATACAAAGTTTAAATGGTCCATTGATAAAAAGGTTTTCCTAGATTCCTTAAAAGTTATCTATTTCAGAACCAAATTATTCAATTTTATTCTAACAAAATATCATCTAAGTACCCTTAAGGCTTCCCTAATTAAAAATATAATTTACTGGTGCATTTTATTTTTGATGTAGATGAGCTATTCAAGGTCATCTAGACCAAAAGTTTCATTTTACTAGCTGGTAAATAGAAAAGGAACTGGTATCTCTCTAACTGAGCTACCGAGTTCACTATTATGTAGAAATGATTTTTTACCACAACTCAGGATTGTTTCTTTACTACAGGTGTGACCATGTAAAGAATAAACCTGCTATTGAGTACAATTTATATTTCAGAATAGATCAATCTTCTAAATGAGAAAAAAATAGTATATTACACAAATAAAGTTTACAAACTATAAGGCAATTTGAGGTAATATCAATGGATCCTGGCTTCAATTTCCTAAGTAATTCATGTAAAAATATTTATTGGCACAATTTGTGTGGATGCAGATTTTTGACTGATTGCTTGACCTAATTCATTTGCGATAGCTAAATGGATCAGTGTCAGTTTAATCAATCAAATCATAATGAACTGGCCTCTTAAATAGTCTAGGCAATTTAATCAAGATAGTATCTCCAGTTGTTCAAATAGACAGTTGCGACATCAGCTCCCTTGTGCCAGGTTCTTCCAGGCAAACAAGAGATGTTTTTCTCTTAGAAAATATTGGCAATATTTAAAGGCAATGGAACATTAGCCACAGGACAATCTGAACTGCTAAATTAGGACTACCTGTACTAAAGTCATTTCTATCACTACTTCAAAAAGTGCTGGTAAGATTAAAGTAAATGAATGGTTTAACCACATAACAAACAGCTTTGAAACACTACAATGATACACAGATTGTTAATAAGTCAGTATTACTGAGTACTTCTAGCACTGTACCTACTGGGAGCCTCTCATAACAACTACTTGCCCTGAGAAAAATCTCAAATTACACCAAACTTCCTGTACTTTACATTTTCTTTTAAAGTTTTGATGTTGACTTCAGATCATTGTTTTATATTCATCAGTGTTATTGCCCAAATATTCCAGTTTCAATTCCTATACTCAAGGTATGACTGTACTCTCCAGGTTCCTTGAAGACACTGAAATGTAAGCAGAAGTGGAGTATGTCACCTCTAAGTGGACGTGTTAAGAACTTATGTGTAATGGATTACTACTTAGCAATCAAAATAAACTCATGCAATTTGCAGCAACATGGATGGAGCTGGAAGGGATCATGCTCAGCAAAATAAGCCAGAAAGAAAAAGGAAAATACCACATGGTCTCATTCATAGCAGGAATTTAGAAAACCTAAATAAGGGACCAGGAAAAAGACTAATTATAATAAATAAAAATCAACAAGCAACTATAAACCAGAGACACACTACGGGGAGGAGGGTGGAGAGGGGCTAGGGTCAAAATAAGGGGGGAGCAATTGTATGGGGAATATAACCAAAATGAAAATGCATATATTGTGCAAAAATGAAAAATGATGTAAAATTATATAAAATAAACATTAAAAAAAGAACTTATATGTAATTTACACATTCCTTTCGAGACCTCAGTAACCAGTGTTCCAGATAGTGACTTCTCCGTCAGCAAGGGTTTGGGAGTGAATCAAAGCCTCCAACCCATACAAGATGGATAT